TGTGTGGGATATTATATACATATCTATGGTATTAAACAAAAATTGACCTATAATAAATTCCAAATTAATCATATCACAATATCCATTAGATACTTATAACGCGTTATACATCAACAAAAACCGTGATACTATCATAGATATATAATAGTACACTTTAGAAGTTTCAAGTACCCACGAATAGTATTATTCAATCACAACAAAATAACTAAAATCGTAATTCTTGGTTTAAATATGAAATTTTGTCTAAATTTGAAATTAAAATGTCTGTAAAAAATAAGTGTGTTTATATATTTTTTAGATTTTTTGGTTACAGTATGAATTATTTAAGAGAATCTTTGTTTTAAATTTTCAACTCTTAGTTATAAAAACTGAACATTTTATAATTTTTTAATTCCAACGATTGATAATTTTCGAGATTTTGATAAATTTTGTCAAAATTCCAACTTTAAATGCTTATAAAAAAAAATCGTGCCTATGTATTTTTAATATTTTTCAACTGATATTGTAACAATATATCAGGAGCCTTGTATTAAATTTTTATACTTTTTGGCCCAACAGATAACGATTGACATTTTCATGTATCTACAGTTATTCGTTTTTGAATTACAACAAAATAAGGAAATCGCTACATGAGAAATCGAGTGAAAATCCAATGTTGTAAAAATTTGAATTTCAAACGCTCATAAAAATTTAATTTGACTGTCCGGTAGAGATTTTTTTATTTATAAAGGTAGATAATCTTATAAGGAATCTTGTGTTTCATTTTCAAATCTTAGATTTAAAAAGAAAAATTTTTACGAATTCTTAACTCAAAATAATTTGCTAATTTTCGTGATTTTTCCATATTTTGTCAATTTTTGAACTTTAAATGCTTATAAAAAAAAATTGTGACTAAGGATTTTTAATATTTTTCATCTGCCTTTGAAACAACATATTAGGAGCCTTCTATTAAATTTTCAAGCTTTCGCAACCAACAAATAAAATTTTATTGATATTTCTAGAAAAAAAACTAAAATAAAATGAAAAATGAAAATGTCCCTAAACAGTTCAAAATAAATCAAAATATTTTGAAAATGTTATCGTGTATAGAAAATGCAAATATAAACAACCAGTGAAAATTTCATGTATCTACGGTCATTTGTTTTAAAGTTACACCAATAACCAAATTCGATTTTTTGGAAAATCGATTTTGCGTAAAAATTCCCGTTTTTCCTTAATTTTTATGTTGTTTTTCCCGGCGCTTGTGAAAACTACTGGAAAATGTTTACTTTTGACCCCCCAAAGTACCAACTAGATTCACTTTCCTATCAGAAAAGGTACTATTGAAGAAAATCGAAGCACTTTTACTGTCCCAAAACGTGATGACAGACACAAAAAAAAATATAAAAATATAAAAACATACATCATTGTAAAACCAATACATTCATCGCTCCGCTCAGAATCTAAAATATAAAAACATACATCATTGTAAAACCAATACATTCATCGCTCCGCTCAGAATCTAAAATATACGAATAATTGAACAAAGACTGTACCTTTTACGACTTTAAAGTGTCACAAATATTTCGGTAAAATACGATTGAGAACGTTACGGTTGAGAACGTTATTTTTGGTAACACGATTGAGAACGCTTGATATTTTTATTTTTTTTCCAACGTTGCCAAATGTAATCGAAAGATAATTTGAGCACGATAATCGGCTATCGAACGATAAAGAACGTTTGCCTTTTTGGCTGAACGATTGATCCGGTTGATAGGTATTTAATATTTATCGGACGTTTATCGGATGTATATTTTGTTAAGTAACACACGATAATATATATGTACCTACTATATATTATAATCGATTGTAGTGGTGTAATTTGTTGGTGGGGGAAAGGAGGGGCCAGTGGCATAGCCTGGGGGATAGCTAAGGGGGCTATAGCCCCCCCTATTGACCGGTATTGAAATTCGAATTTTATCAAGATTAATAAAAAAAATAAAAAGCGTAGATAAAAAACACATTGTATTTGTATACTTAGCCCCCCTCACCATAAAAAATTCCTGGTTACGCCACTGGGAGGGGCACTTTAAAATATAGTTAAAATATCATAAATATATTCCCATTTAAGTCACTTTAATATGGTTTTGTTATACAAATAAATGGTAAAATGTATTAACTACATATATATAATTTACTTATATGAAGTCCCTACCCTTGATTTCTGAAAAATAAAATAATACAGGAATTAATAAATTATTTAATAGTTAAAATTTCCGAATGATATTGATTGGATATGAACATATTACATGCATTATGTTATATAAATTATATATTATAGTTTGATATTATCGTATAAATTTATTAATTTTAGTAAAATTGTTTTGTTTATTTAAATAATTGCAACTGGTTACATAATATTATTATATTAATATTTATTATTATAGTTGAAAAAGTCAATTTCTGACTATTGATGGTGGTGGATAAACGTTTCTGACCACCCAGGATTTTTAGGCTTTTAGCAACGAATCCTTGTCACCAGGGCTTGGAACCTTTATATTTTTTTCGGTTTCGGTTCCAATTCGGTTCTTTAAAAAATAAAAATTCAGTACCGGTTTTGGTTCTGGTTCTTAAAATTACAGAGTTAAGGTTTAAGTTCTGGTACCGGTAAATACCAGTATTTAGAGGTATATGTATATTTTTTTCAAAAAGTAAAAAAAAACTAAGTATCTATAAATTTCACACATATATTATCTAAAATCATAAAATCCCATTGTAGTATCCTTATTGGGTTAAAGGACTTAGTAAGTTTACTATAATTTTGTTTTAAAAACATCTAAAACAAATTTTAAAAAATAGGGTTGTCTCATGTTGTTAGAAGTGGAAGTCAGTGCATCGTATAATTTGATACAATCAAAAACTCAATGGTCTCTATAAAAAGTGGTTTTATTTAAATAATAGCATAGAATTTTGTATGATGTGTTTGTGGCCCAGTGACCAATTTTGTAGTTGTTTATAATTATTATCACCTATTAGCTCACTCAACACTTGAGAATGGAACTCTGATATATTATATTAAATTATAGGTTCTTCTAAATTAGTTGTTGATATACAGGTAATGTGACAAGGTACATAATTTTCTATTTTAAAGGATATTGAAAGGAATGGTCATTGCTAAATAAATTCCAATTTATACAGACCTTAGATCCTTGACTCATTTACTCTGTAGCTATGACCTGTGAGTCCGTGGCCTTGGGAATTTAAAATTCAGATCGAACTACTGACATTTATCCAAAAATTGTATAATAGGTCTATCCATTTTTTTTCTTTTTTTGTGTAAATAGGTACCTACTTCATTCAATACTTAACTGATGATTTTTAGAATAAATTAATATTTCAAAATTACTTTTCTACTAAAAGCTATTTTGATTAATTGACTTTCTTATTTTAAATTTTTAAGTTTCAAAATCTGAATTCATTTTTGATAATTTTTGGTTTAATTTAATATGAGACCACAATAAGATACTGAAATATAATTTATTTTACTTTTAAATTTTAATCTAGGCTAGACATTAAAATAGTATTTTTGATGGCTTAAAAGACAAAATGTATAGTTTATTTTTCATGTAAAATTCAATGTAACAAAAAATTTAAATAACCTTATGAACAGTCAGTATATATTTAAAAAAAAAGGTTGACTGATACATTGTAAATTTTATGAATCAACTATTATTTAATATGTATACCTACCTAAATATATTAAATAATTAAATAAACTAGAACCGAAAAAAACAGAAAAATTCTCTTCCGACAGTTATCGGTTCCGGTTCCGGTTTAAGTTCCTAAGAAAATAAAAAAAGGGTTTCGGTAAGGTACCGGTTCCAATATTTTCAATAAGTTCCGGTTAAAATACCGGTATTTTTAATTTCGGTTCCAAGCCCTACTTGCCACACATACAAAACGTGTCTTAAACCGTCCCTCCCCCTACTAACAACCTACAAACAAATAAAAAAACCAACAGCTAATGGCCTAATTTGACAGGCTCAAACTCAATAAAAAAAAAATATATACACATAATAATTTCCATTAATCAATTTGTTGTTGAATATTTAGCATACAAAATATGATATGTAATAAATTACAAAAATAATATTTTAATGTACAATATATAGTGAATAATAGAACCTATTTAATGACATATCAATTGTATAATAGGTACCAATGAGATATTATAATATGTCTATTATAATATTAGTGTTACGTTTAACATACATTTTTAATATTTGAATGCAATTATAAAATAATTGTTAATTGTTACCTTTCTTTGATCCATTACAGTATATCATAACAAAAAACAAAGTTAATATTATTAAAGCTTTATATGAAATCATAGTTATTGTTTAGATAAGTACAAATAACGAGTATAAACTTTTTTTTGCAAATGGATGTAGGTAATTTGATTAAATTCTTAATACAAAATAGGTACTACTATATTGTAAACTCCGAATAAGTTCCTATTTACTTTGATGCTTATGCATTATAACAACAGACTAAGTAAACATAGTTTTTTTCATTAACATCTGTTGAAATTCATATTATGAAAAAAAATAAGTTTTAGTCGTCGATGTACGTCCATATTTTATATGCTGAGGTAATAAAAAATGTACATTAAAGCTAAAGAATAGTAACTATTATTAACTTTATG